CTCTCTCTCTCTCTCTCTCTCTCTCTCTCTCTCTCTCTCTCTCTCTCTCTCTCCCTTTGCTCCTGATTTATAATATTCTTAATTTAATTTACCTTGATGAACAGTTCAATGTGTTTAAAATGTCCTTGTTAATACTTTTAGTACTAAAGTACATTAATATGTCAACTAAAATCACGTTAAACTAAAGTCATTCATTAAAGATACAACAATTAAACAATACATTGTTCAATAATTTAAAAATAATATAAGAGTATCATAAATTTTAATGCATTTCTATCATATAATTCTATCATATAAATAAAAATTCTATTAATATAAATTTCAGTATTAATTTGTTAAAATCACAATATGTTAAGATTTGACTAATTTATTTTAACTAATTTATTTACAACTCATTCTTGAAATATTTATTCCTGTATTTTTCAATGTACAGGAATTGTTCCTGTATTCTGCAAAAATTTCTTAATTCCTGTATTATACATTAAATTCTTGTATGTTTGGCAACGCTACACGTAGCTCGCTCTGTTTATAATGATACAATTATTAAAACCTCGGTCACAATTTTTCTTGTGTCCATAGACTATTAAACTATTTATAAAACAATTTAAGAATAATTTACATCTAACAACATTCAAATTGTTATAATTATTTTATTTGTCATCCATATTTTAATGGTGTTTAACAGTACCAGTGGTAGTAACAAAAACATTTTTAATGGCAGTACCAGTTGTGTTGCATTGCAGTAAATTTAATGAATGTTTGTTTAATAAGCTAGTTGACTTATTATCTAAATTGGCCAATGCTTTAAAGAGAAGTAACGAGATGCTTTTGAAATGTGTTCCGGTGGGCGCCGGCACTTTAGACCAGTCGCATACGAATGCTCTGTCAAAGCTGTTTGCGATTACAAATGATGAATAAATATTTAGTTGTGACCGTATTATACGCCGGGAAACGTTGGCCTTCACTGTGTTTATTGTCAAATCGACCAATTTGTTAAGGAAACTAAAATGACAAACAATATGCTCAGGGTATCTATTATTATAATACAATGCGTTATAGTAATACCACATGATATCATTCAAAGTGTACTTTGAATCGGGTTTAGCCGCGGCTACCATTGCCCGCGTATAGCCATCTCTGATTGGTTTCATGTTTGCATTCATATCGTGTACTTCTTTATAATAGGGTAACCACTCGTCCAGAGTTCCGTTCGCTATTCTATCGCACGTCAGGTTATATGACTGAACCAATTCGTATCCAAACTTGATAAATTTGGCAGCACTTGGACTTTTACCATACAACTTTTGTAATATGTTATTAATATCAGATTCTGCACCCTTGTTCTGTTTCCTAGTTTAATCAAGTAATTACAGTATTATTATGTTGATTACATTATTACACATTAAGACTGTTATAATGCCTAGTAAATTTAACAATTTATATAATTATGTTACTAAACTGATTACAATAGGCCTCCAATTGTTTACGTTCGTATATCTGGGGGTAATCGGGGTCACCAAAACCGAATATTGGCCGTAACATCATATCCACATCCTGTTCAGTCATTACACTGGGAACGCCTGACCCGGTATAAGCATAATTGTTTAAACATGACAGTGTAATTATTTTTTAAACTACAATCCACATTTAGTACCATAACAATTAAATAACAATATTATATTAATTATTTTAGTAATTCTCTGATAATAATAATGTTTATATCATTTTTAGTTTAACGTATCATTTAGTACAATAGTATATTAATTAACTAACCTTTGTCAATCTTAGTAATGTTTTTGTTAACCATAATCATATTTTTGTCCGCATTAATCAACGCTTTAATTAATAAGATTCCTATAAATTTTGAGTAATTCCCTGCGGGCACCGGTATGTTAGACCAGTCGCATGTGTGCGCCCTATCAAAGCTGTTTGTCATTACAAACGATGTGTAGACTGAAAGTTGTGACCGTATTATATGGCGGGGAACGTCGGAAGTCACTGTGTTTATTGTCCCATAAACCCATTTGTTAAAGAAACTAAAATCATTTACATGCTCGTTTTTGAATGATATACATTGTATATTACTAGGTAATTTTCATAACCTAATTTTCATCGGGTTTAGCCGCGGCAACCATTGCTCGCGTATAGCCATTTCTGATTGATGTCATGTTTGCATTGATATCGTGTATTGACTTATAATAGGGTAACCACTCGTCAAGTGTTCCCTTTGCTATTCTATCGCACGTTTGGTTATATGGGGAGAGATTTTCGTAATAAAATTTAATAAATTTCACAGCACTTGGACTTTCACCATACAACTTTTTTAATGAGTTATTAACATCAATTGTCGCAGCCTTGTTTTGTGTTCTATTATGATTATACAATTATTAACATTTCCAGAACATTTATGGTAAACTTTGTATATTATTTAAAAATCATTTATATATTTGTGTTACTAAACTGATTACAATAGGCCTTCACGTTATTAGAGTTAAAGTTGCATGATAATGTTACGTTATCGCCCACCACAACGCCGTCTGGTATATCGATGCTGTCTATGATTAACTTATCGCTCCGGGAGTGGACACCGTATAGACAACATAGTGTAGTGATGATAAAATATATCATTATGGTAATATTAATAGTTAGATAATGGTGAGATTAATTTTATATTCTTTTATTATATTAAATATTTCATTTGGATGCTTCAAATGGCTCTTGATAAATGTTTTAAACATGAGATCACTTTTTAGTTATGTTTATAATAATTATTATTTAATTATAAAATTTTACTTTTTTATTTAGTAATTGTTTTAAGCTATTGGTTGAGTAATTGTTAAGAAATATTATTTTATTAAAGTTTTTTACTCATCAAAAACCTTTAAACAAAAATTTTATTTGATAAATATGTTTATTATGGTAATTGTGTAGTGGGCATGGTTATATTTAAAACTTGTGATAAGTATTTTATAACATATTTTTAATTAATTGAGTAAAAATGCATGTAAAAATGCTTTTTTATTAAATATAATAAAGTAAATTATTCATTTTTAATACCCTTACTGTTTATTTTTAGTAAATTAAGCTTAATAAGCTTAAACTTAATAAATTTATTTGCTATTCTAAATTTAATTATATTTCCTATGAATTAATTATAATATAATATTTACTATGAGTTACATGGTTATTAATGAAAACATTATTTATTATTATGATTAAATTGCAACTTTATTTAGTTAACGTAATATTAAATGTATTGTATTTGTATTATGAATTAAATAAAATACTATAATATTTTTAAACATATTTTGTTGCACAATAATTAACTCAATTAACTATTATAATTTAAAATGATTTACAATTTTATAATTTTTAATATTATCTTTAAAAAATATTTTAATTGATTAAAAGTTTGTGTTTTATCTAACCGGAAAATATTGCAAAATTAACCTTGATTTAAAATAGCTGATTGAGATTAATCTAAATTTTTAAACTAACAAACATTATGCTCTAATAATATAACTGAAAACATTTTTTAAATCAAATATAAAGTACTGTAAGAACTGTTAAACATTTCATAATTGAAAGTTAACATAAATAGTTGTGATATTGTATTATAACTTATAATTTATAAGTATTGAGAATAATGTCAGAGAAAACAATGCCTTCATATACTATACGGACAATGCACTTGTCGGACAGCGAAGAAGTACGAGAGTTATGGTCAGCGCTTGAGTGGGATATCTATAAATACTCCAATGAAATGATGTTAATAAATGACCCAAACGGGGTATTTGTCGCTCAGTAGGAGTCCATTTAAACGCGTCTCAATTAATCCCGACGGGAGTGATATGGTTATGACCAGAACAATGAGAAGACTTCAAAACTTGATTCAAAACATGCGAATGGCCATAAACACCGGAGTTATGGACATATCTGTAACCGCAGGCATAGGGCACAATGCATTGTAAACTTGCTTTTTACATGAGTAATGTCATTCATCAAAATTGTAATGCATTGAGCCCTATGCCTGCGGTTACAGATATGTCCATAACTCCGGTGTTTATGGCCATTCGCATGTTTTGAATCAAGTTTTGAAGTCTCCTCATTGTTCTGGTCATAACCATATCACTCCCGTCGGGATTAATTGAGACGCGTTTAAATGGACTCCTTTTCAGGAAAATGCAACAGGTTTGAAAGCGTTGTAATTATTAATTTAATTTATATATTTACTAACTTTAATAAAGGTAAATTGTTGGGAGTGTGCGGTTGTGTTAACCTGTCGTCAGAGCTGTCATTTGTATGCATGTATGCCGTGAGAGAAGAGTGTCAGGGATTAGGCATTGGAACAGCTCTTTGGGCGAAAGGCATGGAACACATGGGCGACAGAAATGCCGCACTCTTTGCGGCAAATGTGAAAATGCAAGAGATTTACAAAAATCATCACAATTTCAAAGCTATTCCGCAAAGAAAACGACTCCTTATGAAAGGCAAACCTGTAGTCAACGCTTTGACGGCTAGTATTGACGGCATATCTGTTGTTGACATCAATGATAAGAATATCGCGGATGTGATTGAATACGACAAACAGGTCTGCGATGGACTCGACAGGAGTGAAACGCTTCGGGCACTCAACGGGACGTTTAATAATATAAATTCTGTGGCTATTAATGAGAAAAATCAAGTGATGGGCTATTGTGTCGTATCGGAGACTGTTTCTGGTTATCCACTCATTGCCCCACTTTATGCCGATAATCAACAAATCGTTGAATTATTAGTCGGAAATTGTTTACAACGTATACCCGATTGGGCGACCAAAGAGATATATTATTCGTGTTGGGATTCAAATCACAAATCAATGGAAATTGCAAACAAATTGGGAATTAAACAATTTTTAAAACTACCCATCATGTTCACAAAAAAAATACTAGATGGTCAATTGGATAAAATTTATTCGTTAGGTCTTTCAGTAATGTATCCGTTTTAGAATCCAATTGTAATAAAATATGAAATTACACTAACCATATTAATTTTGCATATGGTTGAAAACAATAAACTTGTCAATTTTTAACACCAACTCAATAAGTGAATTTACAAACATAAATTGTTTTATTATTTGCTTAATTTGTAATTATATAACTAATATTATAATTAACAATAACTATCTTTAATTATATATTAAAGTGTTGCAATAAGTAATATCAATTAGCCTTTGTTTTGTTATCCCAATTGACCAATGCTTTCATAATGAGGATAGTTATTGTCCGGGGTTGGGGTCCGGTAGGCGCGGGTATGTTAGACCAGTCGCACGCCTGCACTCTATGAAGACTGTGTTTTAGGGCGTAAGCGCTATAATAATGCAATTGTTTTGCAATAATATGTTGGGCGGCTGTGCTATTCACTGTCTTTACAGTCTTATGAACCCACGTATTGACAAAACTAAACGTAAAGGTAAGTTATCGTTAGTATGAAATTGTATTTTATAATAATATTTAAATTAATACCACATGATATCATCGATATTGTACTGTGTATTGGGTTGGGCCGCGGCTACCATTGCCCGCGTAAAGCCATCTCTAATAGGTTTCATGTCTGCATTTTTATCATGTATTTCTTTATAAAATGGTAAATACTCTTTCAGTGTTCCGCTCCTGATTTGATCGCATGTTTCTGAATACGAAAACAATGTTTGCTCTCCAAACATGATGAATTTTAAAGCACTCGGACTGTGTCCATACAATTTATTAATTGTTGGGTTATAATGTTGTTGCCACCAATCTTTGTGAATTCTATATTGAATAAATAATAAACATAAACAATTGTGGTAATTCTATTATTTAATAATCTAGTTTACGAACAAACTTAATTAGCTTGTTTTAAAAATATTTATAACTTATTATTTGTCCCTGTTAAATAACATAAATATTTTATAACTGTTTACAGTAGTTTTCCAATTGTTCACGTTTGTAAACCTGTGGATACTCCGGGTCACCGAAACCGACCATGCTGGTACACACTTTGTCCAATTCTTCCTCGGTCATTGTGCCTGAAGCTATTTATAATTCAATATTTTTTATGAGGTGTTATTTACTGTTTTAAATTATCATCATAATGTAAATTAATAGTTTCCAAATGTACCCTGGGAGATTTTGTTTTTATTGTCTAAATTGGCCAAAGCCTTAGCCGTGAGAAGAGTCGGGGATTTAACGTGCGGTCCAATAGGGGCCGGTATGTTAGACCAGTCGCATACGAGCCCGCGGTTGAAACTGTTGGTCATTGCATAGGACGAGTAGTCATTAAGTTGTGCCCGTACTATATGTCGAGAAGTGTCATTTTTTACTATATTTATAGTCAAATCACACCATTTCTTAATAAAACTAAAACGATAAAAATGCTCTAAAAGTAATTGCATTATTAATCTTGGTATAAACTTTATTATAATACCACATGACGTCGTCGACTGTGTATTTAGTGTTGGGTTGGGCCGCGGCTACCATTGCCCGCGTATAGGCATCTCTGATCGGTTTCATATCGGCATTCATATCATGTATTTCTTTATAATAGGGTAACCAATCATTTAGTGTCCCTTTCGTTATTCTATGGCACGTTTCGTTAAATACGGCGCTATTTCTATAACCATCCTGGATAAATTTGACAGCAAGTGGACTTTGGCTAAACATATTAATCAATATATTTAGGCTTTCGAGTCCAAAAATTTTGTTGTGCGCCCTGTTTATAATGATGCAATTATTAAAACCTTGGTCACAATTTTTACTTTCTTCATGGACAATTTATAAACAATTTAACAATCATTAATATTATTGTGTGACTTAACTGTTTACAATAGGCCTCTAATTGGTCACGTTTGTGATACGCCGGGTATTCCATATCACCATAACCAAGTATCGGGCGTATATAATTGTCATATTCCAGTTCGGTCACTTCGCTGAAAGCGCCGCACACTGTTCGAACAGGTTATTAGTATCAGTTATGTTTTTATAATATTAATAGTATAATAAGTTAATCAATTTTTAAGTTAATAATCAATTTTATATTTCTGGTATTTACCCAAGATCAGTAGAATACCCACATGTATTAATATCATCTGATTCATTATAATATAATTAAAATAAATAAAAATATTAAATTAGAAATGTAGTTAATATCAAAGATTCATTAATAATAATTATAATTAATTATCACATCAACACAACTGCTTATGTTGCAAACCTGTTAATATATTTTTAAATAAATGTTATAGATTATCTTTATTTTTATAAATTATATTAATTATAATTTACTTTGATTTAATTGTAACTAGATTAAAAGATTTCAAATGCACTTTTACTGTAATTTGAACCAGTTAAACCTATGGGTGTTTTTAATTAAAAATGTAATTCTTAATCTAGATCAAGATGTCTACAACATTGTTAAAATTTTACACTATTATTAAATATTACATTATTTCTATGTAGAATACTCAATGTTTACTCTTTTAGACTTATAAATCTAGATAATAATACACAAAATAATTACTTTCAAGAGTTTAAATACTATACACCGTATGTTTTTTTCGCGGAGTATAATGTGTAAAAACATATTTTATAACTAATACAACTAATTTTTAATTATAATCTCTCTCTCTCTCTCTCTCTCTCTCTGATTTATAATATTCTTAATTTAATAATAAAGTTACATTTATAAACAGTTCTATATGTTTAAAATATCCATGTTAATACTATTAGAACTAAATTTTTACATTTATAGGTCAGTTCAAATCAAATTAAACTAAAATCATTCATTAAAGGTACAACAATTAAACGATACATTGTTTTGAAACGTTCAATGATTTAAAAATAACATAAGAATATTATAATTTGTTTTCATTTCTACCCTAATAATGAAATAATAATAAATTTTAGCCATATGTCGATACAGTACAAGAGGTATATCAAGAGTTGATAAAAACTAATTTATTTACAGCTCATTATTGAAATATTTTATCCTAAATTTTTCAAGTTTACTCATTCTGCAAAAATACCTTAATTCCTGTATAATACCTGTATGTTTGGCAACGCTACTCGTAGCTCGCTCTGTTTATAATGATACAATTATTAAAACCTTGGTCACAATTTTACTTTAGTCCATGGACTATTAAACTATTTATAAAAACAATTTAACAATAATTTATATCTAACAACATTTAAATTACCATAATTTTTTAATTTGTCATTCATATTTTTAATAGCGTTTAACAGTACCAGTGGTAGTAACAGTTTTAATGGTAGTACCAGTAGTGTTGCATTGCAGTAAATTTAATGAATGTTTGTTTAATAAGCTAGTTGACTTATTATCTAAATTGGCCAATGCTTTAAAGAGAAGTAACGAGATGCTTTTGAAATGTGTTCCGGTGGGCGCCGGCACTTTAGACCAGTCGCATACGATTGCTCTGTCAAAACTGTTTTCGATTACAAATGCTGTATAAATATTCAGTTGTGACCGTATTATACGCCGGGAAACGTCGGCTTTCACTGTGTTTATTGTCAAATCAACCAATTTGTTAAGGAAACTAAAATGACAAACAAAATGCTCACGGTATCTATTATTATAATGCAATACGTTATAGTAATACCACATGATATCATTAAAAGTGTACTTTGAATCGGGTTTAGCCGCGGCTACCATTGCCCGCGTATAGCCATCTCTGATTGGTTTCATGTTTGCATTCATATCGTGTATATCTTTATAATAGGGTAACCACTCGTCCAGAGTTCCGTTCGCTATTCTATCGCACGTCAGGTTATATGACTGAACCAATTCGTATCCAAACTTGATAAATTTGGCAGCACTTGGACTTTTACCATACAACTTTTGCAATATGTTATTAACATCAGATCCGGCACCCTTATTCTGTTTTCTAGTTTAATCAAGTAATTACAGTATTATTATGTCGATTACATTATTACACATTAAGACTGTTTGTAATGTCTACTAAATTTAACAATTTATATAATTGTGTTACTAAACTGATTACAATAGGCCTCCAATTGTTTACGTTCGTATATCTGGGGGTAATCGGGGTCACCAAAACCGAATATCGGCCGTAACATCATATCCACATCCTGTTCAGTCATTACACTGGGAACGCCTGACCCGGTATAAGCATATTTGTTTAAACGTGACAATGTGATTATTTTTTAAACCACAATCCACAATTAGTACCATAACAATTAAATAACAATATTATATTAATTATTTTAGTAATTCTCTGATAATGATAAAGTTTATATCATTTTTAGTTTCACGTATCATTTAGTACAATAGTATATTAATTGACTAACCTTTGTCAACCTTAATCATGTCTTTGTTAACCATAGTCATGTTTTTGTTAACCATAATCATATTTTTGTCCGCATTAACCAGAGCTTTAATTAATAAGATTCCTATAAATTTTGAGTAATTCCCGGTGGGCACAGGTATGTTAGACCAGTCGCATGTGTGCGCCCTATCAAAGCTGTTTGTCATTACAAACGATGTGTAGACCGATAGCTGTGACCGTATTATACGGCGGGGAACGTCGGAAGTCACTGTGTTTATTGTCCCGAAAACCCATTTGTTAAGGAAACTAAAATAATATATTAATACATGCTCGTTTTTGATTGATATACATTGTATATTACTAGGGTAATTTTCATAACGACATAAACTCATACCGACACAAACCAAACATTGCTATTGTAAACCCTAGTTTCGTAATGAAACCACTTGTACAGTGTGTTATATACGAGTTTATGTAGGTTTGAAATGCACCAGGTAATAGTTTAATTGATTAGTAGGTTATAACTGTAAATACCACATGATATCATTAAAAGTGTACTTTGAATCGGGTTTAGCCGCGGCTATCATTGCCCGCGTATAGCCATCTCTGATTGATGTCATGTTTGCATTCATATCGTGTACTGATTTATAATGGGGTAACCACTCGTCAATTGTTCCCTTCGCTATTCTATGACACGTTTCGTTATAAGGGGAGATGTTTTCGTTATACAGATTAATAAATTTGGCAGCACTCGGACTTTGACCAGACAACTTTTTCAATGCATTATTAACATCAATTGTCGCAGCCTTGTTCTGTGTTCTATTATATGATTACCGTATTAAATTATTAACATGTCCAGAACATTTATGGTACACTTTGTATATTATTGACAAATCATTTATATAATTGTGTTACTAAACTGATTACAATAGGCCTCCAATTGTTTACGTTCGTATAGCTGGGGGTGATTAGGATCACCAAAACCGATGATTGGCCGTAACATCGTATCCAAATCCTGTTCAGTCATTACACTGGCAACGCCTGACCCAGTATTGGAAGCTGGAAGCGTTGGAAGCACTGGAAGCGTAGTTGCTTAAAAGTGAGAGTGTAATTATTTTTAACCACAATCCACAATTAATACCATAACAATAAAATAACAATGTTTATATTAATTATTATAGTAATTTTCTGATAATGATAATGTTTATAGTTTCATTTATCATTTAGTACTATAGTAGATTAGTTGACTAACCTGGTTTGGTTTTGTCCGCATTAAGCAGCGCTTTAAATAATAAGATTCCGATAGATTTTGAGTAATTCCCGGTGGGCACAGGTATGTTAGACCAGTCGCATGCGTGCACCCTATCAAAGCTGTTTGTCATTATAAACGATGTGTAGATTGATAGCTGTGACCGTATTATACGGCGGGGAACGTCGGCCTTCACTGTGTTTATTGTCCCGTAAACCCATTTGTTAAGGTAACTAAAATTATAACAATGCTCGTTTTTTAATTATATAAAGCCTTTACATTGTATATTACTAGTTTAATTCTCGTAACGATATAAACTCATACCGACACAAAGCAAACATTACTATTGTAAAGCCTAGTGTCGTAATGAAACCAATTGTACAGTGTGTTATATGTGGCCGTATAAGTTTATGTTGGTATGAAATGCACCAGAGTTTAATATATTAGCAAGTTAAAGTATAAATATAAATACCACATGATATCATTAAAAGTGTACTTTGAATCGGGTTTAGCCGCGGCTATCATTGCCCGCGTATAGCCATCTCTGATTGATATCATGTCTGCATTCATATCGTATACTGATTTATAATGGGGTAACCACTCGTCCAGAGTTCCCTTCGCTATTCTATCGCACGTTTGGTTAAATGGCGAGAGATTTTTGTAATAATATTCAATAAATTTCATAGCACTTGGACTTTGACCATACAACTTTTTTAATGCGTTATTAACATCAATTGTCGCAGCCTTGTTTTGTATTCTATTATATGATTATATTGTATTCAATTATTAACATGTCCAAAATATGATATATATACTTTATATAAAACAATTTGTATATTATTGACAAGTCATTTATATATTTGTGTTACTAAACTGATTACAATAGGCCTCCAATTGTTTACGTTCGTATAGCTGGGGGTAATCGGGGTCACCAAAACCAATTATTGGCCGTAACATGGCATCCATTTCCACCTCGGTCATTCCACTGACGGGTGCGCCTAACTCTGTTTAATCAAGTTTGTTTAAACGTTACAAACATTACTATCTTATGAAGTATAATCTATTTTTTATGATATTCCGGTTGAGGAATATTTGTAATCATAAGTATAAACAATTTACATTAATTAAATAATTATATGAATTTACTAGATTTTGTTATTGCAGTTAATCATAATGTAATTTAATTGAATAATGTTTGATAACTTACCCATGATGAGTATTATGACAGCGGGTAATAAAGTTAATTTACCCATTGTTATATATTTTAAGTCTAATTGTATTTAAATTATATTTTTGTTTTATTTACAATTAATAATATTTTCTAATTAAAAATTAATTAAATAAAATGTCGGAATTATAAAATTAATTTTTAATATAAAAGAATGACATATTGCACAGTATATTCTACTAATGTATGTTTTACTAAAAATTGTTAATTTTTAATTAATTTTAATATTTTTAATATATAGTTTCTTATATGTATTTAGTTATAATAAAAAGTAAATAAATTAATTTTTATTTTTAATTAAAAATTGTATAAATTTAGTAATTGACAATATTTATTTTATTAATTTTTTTTGTTGTTTAAATTAGCTAAGTCGATTCCTAATACAGTATTACTAATACCTAATGTTCTCGAGTAAGGTCCAGTGGGCACAGGTATTTAACATACCGTATGTTAGATTAGTCTCGTCGCAGGTCTACATCTGCTAATGTTGTTTACATTTACAATTAATTTGACCAGAATAATGCAAGAAATATTAGAGAATATATAATTAAATATATAATGTTTAAAAATTCATACAAATATAATATAACTGATATTTATATATTTAATTACAAAAAAATTTATATATTATTAGATTTAATAAATTAAATAGGTATTATAAATTTTCTAATAATTGCTGTATTTTCCAGATGAAATGTATTGGTGATCAGTATTTTGTAATGTTTTTATATACAGGGTAGAATGCAAGTATGTCTTTTTAAAAAAGTTAATAACTCGTAAACTATAAAAGATATTTTATTAAATTTTTTGCAAAAATAGAAAAAGTATGCAATGATTGCATCAGGTTTTCAAAATTTTTAACATATATTTAATAAACCTATAATCATGATGACATTTATAATTTATATTATATTATAAATTATTATTAATTAAATTGACGTAAATAATATAACTTATAGAGATTGCTCATAAATATTGGACAAACATTTTTAAATATTTAAAAAAAAAAATATTTTAATTTAAAATAATAACTATTAAAAATAATATCTAATAAAACAATGTCTTCATATACTATACGGACAATGCAATTGTCGGACAGCGAAGAAGTGCGAGAAATATTGTCATCGGTTGGTATGAATCACTTTAAATATGATAACAAAATGATGTTGATATCTGATCCCGAGGGCACAGTTGTCGCTCAAGACATCACTACAGGTATAATGAAATTATTTTATTTTAATTTAGTTTTTAGATTGAATTAAACAATAAATACGTATATTAACAGGTAAATTGTTGGGATTGTGTAGTGGTATTAATCTATCCTCAGATTTGGCGTTTATTAATATATATGCAGTAAAACCAGAGTATCAGGGATTAGGCATTGGATCCGCTCTTTGGGATAAAGCCATTGAACACATCGGCGACAGAAATGTGATAATATATACCGGAGATAAGAAGATAGAAAATTATTACAAAAATTGTCGCAATTTTTCTGTTGTTCACAAACGAAAAAAACTTATAATGACTGGTAATCCTGTGCTCAAGAGTCTGACCGATAGTATTCCCGGCATATGTTTGGTAGACATGAATGATAAGAATATCGCGGATGTGATTGAATACGACAAACAGGTCTGCGATGGACTCGACAGGAGTGTACAGCTCAGGGCACTCAACGGTCAGTTTAAAACTGCAAGTCTTGTGGCCATTGATAAGTGCAATAATAAAGTGATGGGTTATGGCACGATATTGGAGAATACGTCCGGTAGTTTAAGTGTTGCCCCACTTTATGCCGATAATCAACAAATCGCTAAATTATTAATCAGAAATTGTTTACAACGGATACCCAATTGGGAGACTAAACTTATTTCATATTTTTGTTGGAATTCAAACAAAAATTCGGTAAATATCGCAATCAAATTGCAGTTAAAACTACTATTAGAAGTGTCCATGATGTTTACAATAAAGTTACCTGGTGGTCAACTGAATAAAATTTATTCAACACACGCCGCGGCTTTATATCCGTTTTAATCTTATTTTAATCTAATTTGATATAAATGTAACAAAGATATGATGAGATTTATACAGTACTTTACATGTATACTGAATATTATTATGCATGAAAAAGAATTATGTTCACAAACCATACTAAAATTAAATAAATTTTTATTTTTAACGTAGTTGAGTTAAATTAATGTTTTATTCGCCATAATTATTACCAATTATCTGATATTCTGTTACTAAATGTTTAATTTTCTAATTCAATAAATTTTTAAGTTTTAAAGTTAAGAAACCCTAAATTTGACATGCTATGTATTATTTGATGGTATTTTATAAAAAGCGATGTGTAAACGAAATTTCCCGATTTACTGCTGGTTGGTGTGTGTTTAAAATGTGGCCACCAGATGGTTACAGAAATCAATTCGTACTAATACCCACAAACACCCGGGTGGCCCCAACCATCTGGTGGCTACATTCTAAACATGCATACAAACCGGTAATAAATCGGGAAATCAAGTTTTTTATAACCGGTGCTAAGTGTACATTTATTTACTTATAAGTTATAATCATGCTGACATTGAATTCATTATCAGATTTTCAATTATCTGTAATATACAAACAAACATTATTTTTTGTGACATTGAGATAATTGATAGAACTTATAAAAAACAGTAATTGCTTTCAAATATTGCTATATTTTACTAGTTATAAAAATTACAAATTATTTTATAAATTATATTAATATTGAATAATAAGTATTGAGAATAATGTCAGAGAAAACAATGCCTTCATATACTATACGGACAATGCAATTGTCGGACAACGAGGAAGTGCGGGATGTGTTGGTATCGGTTGATATGAATCAATTTAAATATACCACTGAAATGATATTAACCACTGATCCCGAGGGAGCGTTTGTGGCTCAAGACATCACTACAGGTATTTTATATTACACTAAAATTACATGCAAAACGATATACGCATTTACAGGTAAATTGTTGGGATTGTGTAGCGGTACTAATCTATCACCAGAATTGGCGTATCTGTGTATATATGCCGTGAGACCAGAGTATCAGGGATTAGGCATTGGATCCGCTCTTTGGGATAAAGCCATTGAACACATCGGCGACAGAAATGCCTCACTTTATGCCTCCGAACCAAAAGTAATAGACGTTTACAAAAATCGTCAAAATTTTAATAAAATTCCCGAAAGACGAGAACTTGTATATAAAGGAAATTTTGTGACCGAAAGTCTGATCACTAGTATTGATGGCATATCTGTTGTCGACATGAATGATAACAATATCGCGGATGTGATTGAATACGACAAACAGGTCTGCGATGGACTCGACAGGAGTGCACAGCTCAGGGCACTCAACGTACCGTTTAAAACTGCAAGTCTTGTGGCCATTAATGACAGCAATAAAGTGAAGGGCTTTTGCTTTCTATGGGAGAATATTTTTGGTAATTTAAGTGTTGCCCCACTTTATGCCGATAGTCAACAAATCGCTGAATTATTAGTCGGAAAATGTTTACAACGGATACCAAACGATAAAGTTATTTCCTATTTATGTTGGGATTCAAACAAGAATTCAATAGAAATTGCAAATAAATTGGGCTTAAAATTTGAATGTGAATTTGTAATTATGTTTACTAAACAAGTTGTTGATGGTCAATTGGATAAAATGTTTTCACACGATGGTTTTGCATTGTTCCCGTTTTAAAACAATACTGTTTAAATTTGTAAAATTTTATTGCAATGTAATAATAATTTTGTAATTCTATCAATAATAAATAGCACTATAAAGTATTTATTATACAAATCATTAAATTGTTATAAAATGATTAAAATATAAGATAACTATAAAAACTTTTATAAATTATATTAATTTTTAAAATATATTTTTTATAGAATTTTTTTACCGATACAGTCAAAAATATGCCTAGCTACTTTATATATTGCATGCAATTTAATAGAAATTATGAATTATTTAAAGATAACACGTTTACACTTTGTGAAAGACGTACTGTAAGTAAAATAATTTTTAAAAATATATAATAAAACTATAAAATTTAAACTAACAAACATTATTGGAATTATTTTATACATAATTGCATTAATAATAAACGTATACAAAATAATGTTCGATAAAGCCATGCCTTCATATACTGTACGGACAATGCAATTATCTTATTGAAAAAAGGTGTTTGAGATGTGTCTATCAATTATTGATCCCGGAGAATAAAAATATGTCAATAAAATGAATTTGTTAATTAATCCAGTATTAAGTTTGTACGAGTGCTAATCTATCACCTAATCTGTCGTATATTATTAAATTGTCGTATGATATATGTATGTATTATAGGGTGACCAACTGTCCTTTTTTACCGGGACAGTCCCTGTTTGACACATTTTGTCCCGGCGGAGTTTTCACAGAACAATTGAGCGTCCCGGGGAAAATGGAATGTTACCCAAAATGTCCCTGTAGAAATTTTTAAAAGTCCTGCATTGTCCCGGAATTATTAATAATTTTTTATGAAATGTCCCGGTTTTGAAAATTTTGAGTTGGTCACCCTAGTATGTATGCCGTCCTTAATGAGTATGGATGTTTGTGGCCATTGGCACAAACTAATTTTTGAATAACTATATGGTGGACACATTCTACATACACATACAACTTGGTACTAAATCGGAAAATTAAGTTTTTATAAACGGTGCTCACTGGACATTTATCAACTCAACTAAATCATGCTGACATTGAATTCATTATCAGATTTTAAATTATCTGAAATATACAAACAAACAAACATCATGTTATATGACATTGAGATATTAATATAACTTATAAAAACAGCCATTGTTCTCAAATACTGCAATATTTTAAACATTATAAAACTTACAAATTATTTTAATATTGAATAATAACTTAATATTAATAAGTATTGAGAATAATGTGTGAGAAAACAATGCCTTCATATACTACTAAACATGATTTTTCAATTTTGCATAGATTTTGAATTGTAATAACTTTTTTATTTGTGAACACAAACTATTGTTTTATATATCAAAATAAACAGTGTTTATCTGACTTTAAAATACATATTAATGTTACAACCAAAACATGTCTGAAATTTAATTAAACCCGTCGGAACGGGACCACTATATAAAAATACTTTCCAGTCTATGCTATACTCAACCAATGATTGCTACAGCATATTGAATGTTAGCTTCGGTGCGCACTCTTAATGGTAATCGCTTTCGGGATTAAACCGAAACATCGGACGATTTTTATGTTTTTTAAGCACTATATTTAATAAACAACTAACTATTGATTGATTGACATTTAATTTATATATTTTTAATGTTGTAGCAATCATTTGTTGGTATAACATAGACTGGAAAATATTTTTATATAGTGGTCCCGTTCCGACGGGTTTAATTAAATTTCAGACATGTTTTGGTTATAACATTAATATGTATTTTAAAGTCAGATAAACACTGTTTATTTTGATATATAAAACAATAGTTTGTGTTCACAAATAAAAAAGTTATTACAATTCAAAATCTATGCAAAATTGAAAAATCATGTTTAGTATACGGACAATGCAATTGACAGACAGCGAAGCAGTGCGAAAAGTATTGTCATCGGTTGGTATGAATCACTTTAAATATGCCATTGAAATGATGTTCATATCTGATCCCGAGGGCACAGTTGTCGCTCAAGACACCATTACAGGTATACTAAAATTATCAAATTTTAATTAAGTTTTTATATTAATCTAAATAATAAACGTATTTACAGGTAAATTGTTGGGATTGTGTAGTGGTATTAATCTATCGTCAGATTTATCGTATATGAATATATATGCCGTGAAACCAGAGTATCAGAGATTAGGTATTGGATCCGCTCTTTGGGATAAAGCCATTGAACACATCGGCGACAGAAATGTGATTTTATATCCTTTGGATAAGGAAATAGAAAATTATTACAAAACTCGTCACAATTTTACTGTTGTTCCCAAACGAAGAAGACTTATAATGACTGGTAATCCTGTGGTCAACGCTTTGACGGATAGTATTCGCGGCATATGTTTGGTTGACATGAATGATAAGAATATCGCGGATGTGATTGAATACGACAAACAGGTCTGCGATGGACTCGACAGGAGTGCACAGCTCAGGGCACTCAACGGCCAGTTTAAAACTGCAAGTCTTGTTGCCATTGAGAAGTGCAATAATAAAGTGATAGGTTATTGTTTTGTATTTGAAAATCTCCACGGTAATTTAGTTGTCGCTCCACTATATTCCGATAATCAAAAAATCGCTGAATTATTAATTAGAAATTGTTTACAACGGATACCCAATTGGGAGACAAAACCGATATCATATTCGTGTTGGACTTCAAACGAAAATTCATTAGAAATTGCAAACAAATTGCAGTTAAAACTACGAGTAGAAGTGTCCATGATGTTTACAAAAATGTTACCTGGAGGTCAGCTACATAAAATTTATTCAACATATTCTGCAGCGTTATATCCGTTTTAATCATATTTGTTTGATTATTATTTAAAAAATTAATGTAAAACATTTACTGTACATGTATGATGAGATTTAGATTTAGTTACTAAATTAAATATAACTATTTTATTAAGTATGGATAAATTATTCAAAAAATGATTTGAGTAATTAATGATGACTTATTTTGAAAATTAAAATCATATAATAATTAATTTATAATATTAATAATATTGAAGTTATTAAATATAAATAATATATAATATTTACAATAAAGTGCATGAGCACTTATAGATGCAGGTTTTTCAGAAATATATTTTTACAATCGGATCATTATTATATTCAAGTTTTTAATAAACGGTGCAAACTGTACATTTATTAACTCATAGTCATGCTGACATTGAATTCATGATCAGATTTTAAATGATCAGTAATATTTAAACAGACAAACATTATGTTATATTACTTTGAGATATTGATATAACTTATAAAAAAGCAATTGCTCTCAAATGCTGCAATATTTTAAAAATCATAAAAATTACAAATTGTTTTAATATTGAATAATAAGTATTGAGAATAATGTCTGACAAAACAAAGCCTTCATATACTATACGGACAATGCAATTGTCGGACAGCGAAGAAATGCGAGAAATATTGTCATCAGTTGGTTTGAATCACTTTAAATATGCCGTTGAAATGATGTTCATATCTGATCCCGAGGGAACAGTTGTTGCTCAAGACATCATTACAGGTAGAATGAAATTATTTAATTTTAATTTAGTTTTTATATTGAATTAAATAAAAAAACGTATTTTTAGGTAAATTGTTTGGATTTTTTAGTAGTATTAATCTATCGTCAGATTTATCGTATATGAATATAAATGCCGTGAAACCAGAGTATCAGAGATTAGGCATTGGATCCGCTCTTTGGGATAAAGCCATTGAACACATCGGCGACCGAAATGCTATTCTATATCCTATAGATAAGGATAAAGAAAATTCTTATAAAAATCGTTACAATTTTACTGTTGTTCCCAAACGAAGAATACATATAATGACTGGTAATCCTGTGATCAACGGTTTGTCGGCTAGTATTCACGGCATAAGTTTGGTTGACATGAATGATAAGAATATCGCGGATGTGATTGAATACGACAAACAGGTCTGCGATGGACTCAACAGGACTGTACAGCTCAGGGCACTCAACGGCCAGTTTAAAACTGCAAGTCTTGTTGCCATTGATAATTGCCATAACAAAGTGATGGGTTATGGTTTTGTATTTGAAAATCTTCATGGTCTTTTAATTGTTGCCCCACTTTATGCCAATAATCAACAAATCGCTGAATTATTAATCAGAAATTGTTTGCAACAGATACCAAATTGGGAGACAAAACCGATAGCGTACTGGTGCTGCACATCAAACGATAATTCAGTGGATATCGCAAACAAATTGCAGTTAAAACTACGAGTAGAACTGTCCATGATGTTTACACAAAAATTGCCTGGTGGTCAACTGAATAAAATTTATTCAACACACGCCGCAGCGTTATATCCGTTTTAATCTTATTTGTTTGATTGCTATTTAAAAAATTAATGTAACAAAATGTCACTGTATGTCATATACACGTATGATTAGATTTAGATTTAGTTACTAACTTAAATATTATTTTATTATGACACTATTTTATTAACGAGTAAGTATAAAAAAAATTATTCAAAAAATTATTTGAATAATTAATGATGACTATTACTGTATTTTGAAAATTTATAATATTGAGGTAATAAATAATAAATATAAATAATATATTTACAATAAAGTACTTGAGCACTTATACATGCAGGTTTTTCAAAAATATATTTATAAACTCGGATCACACTTATATTTAAGTTTATAATACAACAAACGGTACAAACTGTACATTTATTAACATATAATCATGCTGACATTGAATTCATTATCAGATTTTAAATTATCTGTAATATAAAAACAGACAAACCTTATGTTTTGTGACATTGAGATAAATGATAGAACTTATAAAAACAGTAATTGCTCTCAAATATTGTAATATTTTAATTATTATAAAATCACAAATTATTTTCTAAGTTATATTAATATTGAATAATAAGTATTGAGAATAATGTCAGAGAAAACTATGCCTTCATATACTATACGGACAATGCAATTGTCAGACAACGAGGAAGTGCGAGATGTGTTGGTATCGGTTAATATCAATCAATTTAAATACGCCAATGAAATGATGTTAATTACTGATCCCGAGGGAGCTTTTGTAGCTCAAGACATCACTACAGGTATAATGAAATTAATTATTTCGCTTATGGTTTTATATTACACTAAAATTACTTGTTAAAACAATAAACGTATCCACAGGTAAATTATTGGGATTGTGTAGTGGTATTAATTTATCGCCAGAGTTGGCGTATATGTGTATATATGCCGTGAGACCAGAGTATCAGGGATTAGGCATTGGATCCGCTCTTTGGGATAAAGCCATTGAACACATCGGCGATAGAAATGCCACACTTTATGCCTCCGAACCAAAAGTAATAGACGTTTACAAAAATCGCCAAAATTTCAATAAAATTCCCGAAAGACGAGGACTTATATGGAAAGGAAATTTTGTGACCGAAAGTCTGATCACTAGTATTGATGGCATATCTGTTGTTGACATGAATGATAAGAATATCGCGGATGTGATTGAATACGACAAACAGGTCTGCGATGGACTCGACAGGAGTGCACAGCTCAGGGCACTCAACGGCCAGTTTAAGACTACAAGTCTTGTGGCCATTAATGATAGCAATAAAGTGATGGGCTTTTGCTTTCTATGGGAGACTGTTTCCGGTAAAGTAAACGTTTCTCCACTTTATGCTAATAATCAACAAATCGCTGAATTATTAGTCGGAAAATGTTTACAAAGAATACCAAACGATAAATTAATTTCTTATTCGTGTTGGGATTCAAACAAGAATTCAACAGAAATTGCAAATAAATTAGGCCTAAAATTTGGATGTGAATTTGTGATAATGTTTACTAAAAAAGTTATTGATGGTCAATTAGATAAAATGTTTTCACTCGATGGTTTCGCATTGTTCCCATTTTAAAACCATACTGTTTGTAATTTTCTATTGTAATTTAAGTCTTATACTGTATTTAAAATATATTTTTGTTTTATTTACAATTTATAATATTTGTTAATTTTACAAAATTGGAATTATAAAAATAATTTTAATTATAAAAGAATGACATAATATACTGCACAGTATATTCTACTAATGTATGTTTTATCAAAAAACCATGTTTTAGTAAAAATCTTAATTAGTTTCTTATATAAAGGGGTAGTCAAGGTATCTCGCACACGCGGTTTGGTCAATTACTCTTAAACTACAAGAGATAATTTAATTCTGTAAAAAGTATCTAAGAGCCCAATAAACGCTAGTTTTTGTCAATATGTAACTTTTAGATTTTGGTCACGTGGTATACAAAATATGGACAATTCCAAAACCACATGTTATTGGTCAAACGATACATATTGATAGTATTACATTCTAATAATAATACTAATAAGTTTTATTATACTCGTTGATTAAAGTTACAATATTTGTTAGTAATTATAATTTGTTATAAAATCATCTAATAAATACATTAATAAATAATTAAATACATTAATAAATACATCTTGACTAGGGTGACCACCAAAAATCATCTTAAAAAGGACGACTGATATAAAATAGTCATTAAAAAAAAGACACAAAAAGACGCAAAATTTTTTATCCCTATGCATTTTCCTTTGTTTTTTACACATTGTAAATGAGTATTTAAATAAAAAGACTTTTAACAAACAAAATGATTTTATTTTTATGATAATTATTTGTTAACAACTACAACGTTTTTAATATATATTTCTACTCTATTATTATTATTATTAATTACTGTTTGTGTGCTGTAATGACTAAATTTTTCAGCTATATAGCGCAATAGTGCACAGCAATCAATGATATTTTCTATATTTTAAAACATATTAACCTTTTTATATTGAAATTAATAAAATTCAAAAAACGGACGCGTCCTTCTTGACTCTGTTCTGAAAGGTCGAAAAAAGGACAACACCCATAGAAAAGGACGTTCTGGTCATCCTATTCTTGACATGACATGACATTTATAATTTTTTATTATATTGAAGTGAATCATATATTGTAGTCATTATACAAGAATCTCAATCATGTTTTATAATAATGAATAACTGATTGTTAAACACATTATGAATTTAATTTTACATGAATCACTTGTTTTTATTAAATTGTTTCTAAAACTTCTTAACTTAAATGAAATATACTTCAAGATTCCTAATAAATACAAAATATTATACTCTCGGGACTCGTAATACATTTAATGGATATTTATTAATTGTCCCAAAAATCTACTGACATCTCAATATTAATAATTATCTTTTAATTATATTGAGATAAATAATGTAACTTATAACAATTGTTCACAAATAGTGGAAAACCTCTTTGAAATTAAAAAAAAATTATTTTAAGATTAATTAATAAGTATTGAGAATAATGTCAAAGAAAACAATGCCTTCATATACTATACGGACAATGCAATTGTCGGACAGCGAAGAAGTGCGAGAAGTATTGTCATCGGTTGGTATGAATCACTTTAAATTTGCCATTGAAATGATGTTCATATCTGATCCCGAGGGCACAGTTGTCGCTCAAGACATCACTACAGGAATAATAAAATTATTTAATTTTAATTTAGTTTTTATATTGAACTAAACAATATATGGATTTACAGGTAAATTGTTGGGATTGTGTAGTGGTATTAATCTATCGTCAGATTTGGCGTATATTAATAAATATGCTGTAAAACCAGAGTTTCAGGGATTAGGCATTGGATCCGCTCTTTGGGATAAAGCCATTGAACACATCGGCGACAGAAATGCCTCACTTTATGCCTGCGAACCAAAAGTAATAGATGTTTACAAAAATCGTCAAAATTTTAATAAAATTCCCGAAAGAAGAGGACTTATATGGAAAGGAAATTTTGTTACCAATAGTCTGATCACTAGTATTTCGGGCATAGATTTGGTTGAGATGAATGATAAGAATATCGCGGATGTGATTGAATACGACAAACAGGTCTGCGATGGACTCGACAGGAGTGCACAGCTCAGGGCACTCAACGGCCAGTTTAAAACTACAAGTCTTGTGGCCATTAATGATAGCAATAAAGTGAGGGGCTTTTGCTTTCTATGGGAGATTGTTTCCGGTGATGTAAACGTTTCCCCACTTTATGCCGATAATCAACAAATCGCTGAATTATTAGTTGGGAATTGTTTACAACGAATACCAAACGATAAATTAATTTCTTATTTATGTTGGGATTCAAACAAGAATTCAATAGAAATTGCAAATAAATTGGGGTTAAAATTTGAATGTGAATTTGTAATGATGTTTACCAAACATGTTATTGATGGTCAAGTAGATAAAATGTTTACACTTGGTGGTTTTGCATTGTTTCCGTTTTAAAACAATATTGTTTTGTCGCAATGTTTTAATTGCAAGGTCAGAGCATTATTTATTCATCTATTATAATGTAATAATTAATCGTAATGTAATAAATGATTAATTAATAATTAATAGGTATGTAATTCTATAAATAATAAATAACACTATAAAATATTTAATATACCTTGTACAAGGCTGTTGTTGTGAAATGGTTAAAATATAATATAGCTAGAAAAACGTTTATAAATTATTTAAATTTTACTATATCCTTATAAATGGTAGGCTTACATTTAAAAATATCCATAGTTTCTTTATATATTCCATATACAATATAATGGTAATATATTCATTGAATTATATAAAGATAACACTTTTACACTTTGTAAAAGATGTACTGAAAGTAAAATAGATTTTCTTATATAATTAATCTATAAAATTAAAACAAACAAACATTATGTAATAAACACAAAATAAATATTAAATTTATAGTTTAAAACTTATAAAAACAGGAATATTTTAATTTATATTATTATATAATAAATAATTAGATATTTATACAAATAAATTTATAATTCTTGAGAATAATGTCTGATAACATTATCCTTTCATATACTGTGCGGACAATGCAATTGTCTGATTGTGACCAAGTGTTTGAGATGTGTCTATCAATTGATCCCGGGGTATATAAATATGTTAATGAAATGATTTTGTTATTAGATCCATATGGTTCATTTGTCGCCCAAGACATCACTACGGGTAAAGATAAAATATATTTAAATTTACAAATAATTTACTATGTAACATATTAAAATATTAAAATCATCTATTACAGATAAATTGTTGGGAGTTTGTACGAGTGCTAATCTATCACCAGATCTGTCGTACATATGTATGTATGCCGTTCTTAAAGAGTATCAGGGATTAGGCATCGGAACCGCTCTCTGGGATAAAGTCATTAAACATACGGGCGATAGAAATGTATCACTATTTGTGGAAAGTCGTAAAATGCAAGACATTTACTACAATCGGTGTAACTTCAGAGCTGTTCCCAAACGACGTGGACTTCTTATGAGCGGATATTTTATGCCCAAAGGATTGACGGCTAGTATTCCCGGCATATGTTTGGTTGACATGAATGATAAGAATATCGCGGATGTGATTGAATACGACAAACATGTTTGTAATGGTCGGGATAGGAGTGTACAGCTCAGGGCACATATCGGTCCGTTTAAAAGTGTAGGCCTTGTGGCCATTAATGATAATACACATCAAGTGGTGGGCTATTGTGCTATTTGGCAGAATATTTCCGGTAATTTAAGTGTTTCCCCACTTTATGCCGATAATCAACAAATCGCTGAATTATTAATCGGAAATTGTTTACAACGGATACCCGATTATAAAACCAAGAATATTGACATTTTGTGTTGGGATACAAATGAGAAGGCATTGAAAATTGCAGACAAACTGGGATTAAAAGCTTCAATTGAAACTCAAATAATGTTTACAAAGAAAATAATTGATTGTAATTTGGATAAAATATATGCCCTTGATGGATATGCAATGTACCCGTTTTAGAATTAAATTAATTTAATATTTGTAATAAATTGTTAAACACTTTGTGATGTTTAATACCTCTTAGGTGTTATAGAATTATTTAATGCAAAAATAGTTTTTTAATAATAATATTAAAGTTACGAAATATGGTTATATAATACACAACTTTCACATCCAAACAGTGCGTAAACTGTATTATATTTAATTATCATTGACTAAAATTGGCATTGATTTTATTATCTTTTTGTAAATTATCTATTAGATTAAAACATACATTTGTATTATTAATGTATGTAATATAAATTAAATGATTTATTTTTAATAACTATTTTCACTACTCGACATTTAAATAATTAAATTCTGATTATTATTTAATAAATTATTTATTGTTTATATGAATTGTTTTGAAATTGATTCATAACTTAAACACAAAAAATAAGTATTGAAAATAATGCCAAATAAAGCTATGCCTTCATATACAGTGCGGACAATGCAATTGTCTGATTGCAAAGAAGTACTACAAATGTGGCTATCGGTTGACTCCGATGTATATAAATATATCATTGAAATGATGGTAATAACTGATGCCGAGGGTTCATATGTGGCCCAGGATATCACAACAGGTATATATAAATTATTAAATTACATAACATTTAATTTATATAGATTTATCAAAATACAAAATGTATTTTATTATATTACAGGTAAATTATTAGGAGTGTGTTGTGGTGTTAATTTATCATCAGAGCTGTCATATATGTGTATTTACGCCGTCCTTAAAGAGTATCAAGGATTAGGCGTCGGAACCACTCTCTGGGATAAAGTCATTGAACATATGGGCGATAGAAATATATCACTTTATGTCGACTCTAAGAAAATGCAAGAAAATTATAAAACTCGACATAATTTCAAAGCTGATCCACAAAGACGAGGACTTATTATGAAAGGCAAACCTGTGGTCAACGCTTTGACGGATAGTATTTGTGGCATATGTTTGGTTGACATGAATGATAAGAATATCGCGGATGTGATTGAATACGACAAACAGGTCTGCGATGGACTCGACAGGAGTGCACAGCTCAGGGCACTTAACGGCCAGTTTAAAACTGCAAGTCTTGTGGCCATTAATGATAATAATCAAGTGATGGGCTATTGTTTTGTATGGGAACTCGTTTCCGGTATTTTAAGTGTTTCCCCACTTTATGCCGATAATCAACAAATCGCTGAATTATTAGTTGGAAAATGTTTACAACGAATACATAATTGGGAGACAAAAGAGATATACTATTTGTGTTGGAATTCAAATCACGAATCAATAGAAATCGCAAATAAATTGTGCCTAAAATTTGACAGTTCTTTTCAACTAATGTTTTCAAAGAGAATTATTTCGGGAAAATTAAATAAAATCTATACACTCGACGGTTCAGCTGTTTATCCGTTTTGAAAGTACAAACGTATTGACATTAATTATAAATAAACATTTATAAAAATAATAATTTACAATAACTGTAATGTTTACATTTACATAATTATTGTCATAACTTATCATCATTAAATATTAGTGCATAACTTTTATTTCAATGCATAACTTAATAAAAATTAATTATATAAAAATTTAAATCTGAAAACGAAATAACAAACATTATTGCTTAATATTTTTATTAGAAATATAATTATATTAAAAATTTATAAAATTTAATTGAAATCTTTATTAATATTTGTATACATAGATGATAAAATATAATAAATTTTCTATAATATGAATAATTAATAAATTTTATATTTAACTTTATATTAATATATAATTATCAAAATTTTATCATATTTTATATAACTTATGTATATAAGTTTATAGTTAATAATTTTATACTTGTTGTGAATCAAGGTGTTTGCATAGTATTTTAGCAAGTAACACCATAATCGATTTGTATTTAGTCTCGGGGTAGGACTCTTTGAGCTCGCATTTCGGGTCCGCTTTTATTTTAAACACGTTCTCAGCTCTCGTTAACATCGAGGTAGAGATTGAGCTCCTGTTGCGCGCGAAGACCCAGAAACCATCCTGGTCATCGTGCATCGTGATCACTTTCTCCCAGTAGTCTTTCCCCATGCTATCAATTGTAATTAATTTTGTATTTAATTTATATGTATTTTAATTATTTATTTTATAAATAAGTAAATGTATAAATAGAACTAATAGTTATACTTTAGTTATACATTATTTATAATGTTGAGATTATAATATTCAAATAATGTGTGTAAATATTACTATACCAAATTACTTGTGGCAGGTTAATTTTTGTTTGCTTCATAGCCTCGTTCATATAGCCAAGGAAACGGTTACGTAGATTTTGGGCATCGGTCAATTTTCTATTGACAATCTGGGCGTATTTCATTTGTTTGACCAAGGGCTGTGTGCAAATAATGTTGACTCTATCATAGGTAGTGATGGTTGGATTTTCAACAATTACATCTCGCACCTTTGGTTTTAAGTGCGATGCCCATCTCAGCACGGTTACAATATCCCAGAATCTGGAACGAGATATTATTTTAAAATGTTTAATTATGGTAATAAATATTAAATATCTAAAATAGATATTTAAAATATATTGAAATAATTTATTGTAAAACTATATACTTGTTTGTCATTAATTTTAAAATTATATGTGCATTTATATATTTATTTTTGTTATAATTTAAATATAATTTGAATTATAAACATAATAAACGCTTATACCCTATACATTTAAAATAAAAATTAATATATAATTTATTACATTATTAATTTTTGTGCTGAAAGAATGAAAGTGCACTGTAATATTCAATTAGTAAAAATAAAAATTACTATTTATGAAACTAGAGTAGCGACCATCAAGTTTTTAGATATTAATTGAACATGGGCGCAATTTATTAAATGTAATTCAATATAACTTACAGTTTGCCGTTAGTGTTATTGGCTGAGCGGCGGAGTTGGCACTGTTCCTCCATTTTTTCGGGAGTATCGGAGCTTTCTATACCATTACCATATTTTTCCCAATAATGACCAGCATTGTCTGCGGCTATTTCATCTTCCACTTGTGTACAATATATTACACCTAACATTAATGTAATTAAAATTATTTTATTATGCTCATTGTACTCTCTCTCTCTCTCTCTCTCTCTCT